CATTGTCGAATAAGTCCTGGTAATGTTGAGGAACGAATGAGCTAATGGAACTAAACATGTTTTGAGAACAGGAACCCCTCTGCCTTTGATGTAGAGACTAATGAGTCATTTGCATAAAAGTACCGTGGTTGGCACCGAGGTACAGGGATGGTATCAGACATGGTACTTTTTGAAACTAATAAACTCCATAGAAGAACCAATTTTGGTTCCTCAATTCCATGGAAAGATTCCATGGATGTTAAAGGTTCTTTATGAAACCATCAATGCCAATAAAGAACCTTTATTTTTAAGAAAGTACACTCAAGATTTTTTTTCGCCATTTGTGACCATGGAACACAAAACCAGTCATAAGGGTCAATTTCTCGAAATTGAGATTTATACATCATATGAAAGCTGAATAAATAAGCTTTCCATTGATGTTGGATGTTCCTAATTGATGTTAGGATAGGACAATATTTGGCCGAGATACAACTATTTGAATATATGGAATCTGAGGGGGCAAAAAAATAAAAATACTGAGAAAATCATCTTTAAAGTTGTCCAAATTAAGTTCTTAGTAATGCATATCACTAATTAAAAATTAGTTTAAGTTTTGATATATTTACGCTATAGGAAATTTACTAAATATCTTCATGGAACATGATCTTTACTTAATATCCTAATGATTTTTGCCATAAAAGAAAAATCGATAATTTTGACCCATACAATATATTTTTGGCTATTGCTACAAATATACCCCAGCGACTTAAGACTGCTTTTGTGCTCCAGGGTCACATTTATGGTTCCATGAAGAACTTTTAACATCAACGGAATCTTTCCATTCCACAAAAGGTTCTTTATAATGGAAAAAGTTTCTTTAGATTATTAAAATATTCTTTAAGAAAAATGGTTAATTTAAGAACGATTCATTGAAAGGGAAGCAAAAATGGTTTTTATATGGTATCGCTACAAAAAAAATCCCTTTAGGAACCTTCATTTAAGAGTGTACCAGAATATTTACTTCAAAAAATAACAAAAACATAGTATTACCATGGTACCACTTCCAAAAAATTAAGCCATAGTACTTTTTTGGTCAGTGAGGTATTGGCCTTTTAGTGGTTTTGCTCTCCAAAAACCAAAAATTATTGACAGGCAGACGGGATATATTTGCAATTTACTGAAGAAAACTAATGTAGGAATTACTTTCAAATAGTCTCCACTCAAAAAAACAGCAAGTAACACACTGAATTAAACGTGAATTTTACTGAAATAGTATTTTCTTGTAAAATATACTCCAATAATCTTTACGTACAACTTCAAGATAAAACATTTTTACAGTGTTGGCTATTTTTTTTTTAACTATATAAAAACTGCAGATCTCTTTTTGCAGAGTCTAATTCTGTCACAAAGACAGGTGTGATGTGTCAGGACACCTATTTCAGTGATATCTGTCAGGTAATAGGGAAACCTTGTGTGTGTCGTTCAAAAACAAAGTGTTTCAGTATTTTTAAAGAGAAGCCAATTCATTAAGGTTATCTAAAAATATTTTATGAGGTTGGAGGTATAAAATTATATATTTATGCATTTGCCAGATGCTTTTTTTGGCAGACACTTTGGATTTTATTCAAAAGAAAAGTACCAGCTGACAAAGTTACTCAAGAAAAAATATATTTTGATTAATCAGATTCTGCACTTCAAACTTGGATGGATGGATGGAAAAGGAAAAAAATAATCAATGTTGGAAAGGCCAGCAACTGTGAGTGAGTTTAAATTATGTGGTCAGTACATATCAAATTATCAGACGCCTGAATCAATTTCCCTTGTGCAGAACTGCTGAATTGTGAGAAAAAACCATAATGAGTTTCAGACAGATTTTCCCCTGAGCAAACATCATCAGCACTGTTGAGTCTGAGGGAGAACAAACTCTCAGGGTGTCTAGTTTACCCCTCCCACCATTCAAAACATGCTCTTCGCTCACACAATGTTGCATGTCCTTCAACATATCCATTTTGCGAGCTTTGCAATGTTAAAGGAACAGTTCGACCAAAAAGGAAAATTCTGTCATTATATACAGGTGCATCTCAATAATGTGTCAGCAGGAGGCGCTGTGAGAGCGGTGGAACTAACGGTTTCTCCAGTAACGGCTGTAAACAAAGCAGCTCCGCTCATGAACGCTACTTTATCAGATAAAAATGCCATCTAAACTATTCTGAAGACAGTTGATTCCCTTCAGAGATACATTCATATAAAACAAAATTTGATTTTGAAACGTGCAGTGCTCATGTTTATTCAACGAAGTCAAACGCCACAAATAAATCAATGTATGGGAAACTGGTAATGTATATCGAAATATCGGAAATGTGTTTAAAAATCATATCACCGTTATTGAAAAAAACTATATCGCGATAAATATTGATATTGAATTATTGTCCAGCCCTAAATTCAACTCAAATTGTCAAACTCGTGTATTAAATAAATTCAATGCACACAGACTGAAGTAGTTTAAGTCTTTGGTTCTTTTAATTGTGATGATTTTGGCTCACATTTAACAAAAACCCACCAATTCAGCAGTAAAGGGCTCAAAAAGTGGAATCAAACATCATTTCAAAGCAAGTATTCATCCATTCACAGCACACCGAGAGCTATTATTCCCTCCCTGATGCCCCATGTGTTCTCTGACAGATCAATAATACAACAATAGTACTCCAAACCCATACGAATCACCCAGCGGTGTCTGGTTTTCTTCATCTTTCTGATATTAACCATTTCACTAAGTATGACTGTCTCAGAACAAGCACAAAGATGTCAAACGGAAATCACACAGCACTTTGTCAACAGCTGGTGTCAAAACTGCAGCGACACAACATTTGTTCCTGCTATGAGATTATCATCAGGTTCACATATCACCTTTTACTGAAAATATATTAAGCAATTTGCATCATCCATTTCAGAGGGAATCAGAGCAAAGTAATTGCATGTAGAGAAACAGTGTGAGCGATATTCAAAAACAATTGGGTTGAAATGAATATCGGGCCATCTGCTGGCTCTCTAAAGAATAGCCACAGACAACAACAATACATCACTCTCTGTTCAACATTAAAATTATGAATTACAATAAATCTTAAAATAATATATGCTAATATAATAACTACAATTACGGCCATATTAATGTAACCACAACAGCATTAATAAAATATTCAAAATGAGTCACTATTAATATTTAATTAATATTGTTGTTTGCATATTGGACATCAGTCACTTAAAAGTGAAAAATAACCATTATCCGTTTCTGAATATCAGTTGTACCGATAAATGCCACCTGGTGGGACTCTAAAGAATATCCACCAATTACACTACTATCTGTTCAACATTACAATTAGAAAACTATAACTATATACTTAAAATTACAATTAATATTAATACAATATATGCCAATATAATATACATCAGCAACAACAGCAAGAACCAAAACAGCAATAATAAAATATTCATGATGAGTCACTTGTCTCATGGTTATTTCCTTATTATTATATGCATATTGGATGTCAGACATTTAAAAATAAAAATAACATTATCGGTTTCTGAATATCGGGTCTACCGATAAATGCCATCTGCTGGGTCTCTAAAAAAAAGTCACCAACAACACCATTACTCCACTGTCAGTTCAACATTATGAAATTATAAAACTATAAAATATACACATAAAGAACCATTAATATTTATATAATATATGCTAATATAAAGACCATGACTATGACAATATAATATAAGAACAACAGCAAGAATCACAACAGCAATAAAGTGACATGTGGCCAAGTGATGGTGACCCATACTTGGAATTAGTGCTCTGCATTTAACCCATCCAAAGTGCACACACACAGCAGTGAACACACAACCGGAGCAGTGGGCAGCCATTTATGCTGCGGCGCCCGGGGAGCAGTTGGGGGTTCGGTGCCTTGCTCAAGGGCACCTCAGTCGTGGTATTGAAGGTGGGAGAGAGCGCTGTACACTACATTCCCTCCCCCCACCTACAATCCCTGCCGGTACGAGACTCAAACCCGCAACCTTTGGGTTACGAGTCCAACTCTCTAACCATTAGGCCACGACTTCCCCAAAACTATGTGTCAGAAGAGGGATTCGAACCCACGCCTCCATTCAGAGACCAGAATACCCAATTCGTCGGAAGGGAACAGCCCTTGAGTCTGGCACCTTAGAACGCTCGGCCATCCTGACATCTCTAATAATAATATTCAATATTATTAAATATTAAATATTTATTATATACTCAATAATAAAATATTCAAGATGTTATGAATATTGATAAGATGAACGATGGTTATTTAGTTGTGATTATATGCATACCAGATGTTTAAAAATAAAAATAACCATTATCGGTTTATGAATATAGTCTACTGAAAAATGCCACCTGCTGGATCTCTAAAGTATAGCACCCAATAATGGCATTACACCCCTATGCAAAGCAACTGTTCCCATATAATATTATAATTAAATAAATCAAAATATAATAAATATAAAAACAAATTGTATTAATACAATATAATTAAAAATTAAGTATGCACATGCATAATAAATTATATAAAATAATTGAGTAATATAAATATATTAATACAATTAATAGTGTAAAATCATTTTTATTTGATAATATATATAATTATGTTAAACAGCTGTTTTGCATATCGGTTATTATCGGACACCTAAAAAAAACTATATTTGTGTCAATGTCTGTAAAGGCACCCACTGACTTGTTACACACTTGAGAGGAAAGCCGTCTTTTTTCCCCGAAGTGTTGATATGCAGAACTCGTGTGTTGTGGAGCGCGCTTGTCTCTATGATTTGATCACACACGCATACACACACACACACACACACACACGATTCATGTGCAGGTAGACCCCCGGAGCCGCATTAGTATTCCACTCCAGGTCCCAGCAAAGAATGAAGCAAGGAACGAGTGAGGAACATTTTCTCTACAGAAGAATTCTTTAAGAATTGCAACTTACCTTTCCACAGCAATGCCAAGAGCAAAGCGAGCGCGTGTCGCAACATTGCGCAGCTCATGTTTTGAGTTGATTGTTTGTTATTTCTCTGTGTCAGTTCTTGCAACAAACAGTCCGTTTTTATCTTCTATGAACGGGAACACGCATAAACCGCAGTTGTCCGTCCGTGTGTCCTATTTCATGAAACGTCCGCAGTCTACAAATCTTCCAAGTGTGTCAGGAGTGCCACAAGACGGGTCGATTTTCCCAAGTGACCCTTTGCAAGGAGACCAAACACAATCTGCTGGCGTTTGGAGTGCCAGAGAATATATACAGAAATCCTTGCGCGAAAAAAATGATTATGTAAACCTCCTCAGATTTTTTGCTTCAATACAAGGGCATCCACAGAAAAAGAGACGCTTGGTGGGATGCTCTAACGATCTGTTCAGTGAATCAGAATCAATGTGCTTCGCTTCAGAGCGGAGCACGAAAGAAGCGTCTGATTGACAGCTCAAGGATAATCTCCTCCACCAATCAGCGAGCGTCAAGGAAGTGGGCCGGGCACCAAGGAGGAGATTCGGCCAATCGTGCGCACAGATGGGCGGAGACTGTGAGAGCGCTATTCTAATATAAGGTGATTTATAGCACGCTCAGTGCACTGCAGTACTGGAGGAAAGGTGTTTGCGTGGACATGCACATTAGTGCTTCATGTTCTCTACTGGGAGAGGTGATTTGCGTGGGGAAACTTAGCAGAGAAGTGTTTAGAAATAACGCACTTGATTTATTGGGTCGTTCCTAAAGTGCGGTACATTTTTGTGCCCCCATCTTAATAGCCTAAATAAAATATTAAACTCACAGTTTTTGAAGATGAAAACCATATTAGTTTCAAATGCATTTTGGTTTGAATGGACGTTATTACTTTTGCCATGTCCCAAACTTCTCAAATAAAAAAGGTAATTTATTCAGAAATATTCCTAGTATTTAAATGCTTAAAATAAAATGTTTTGATTGGAAATAAAATTATTGGTTTAGGTCTCTGTAATCATAGCCTTCCATGCAGTTAGTCATGACATCATCCTTCAGGAAGTGACGTCATTTTGGAGGGAAAACACCACCAGCAACACTAGTGAGGAGATTTGAATAATTCTTTGATGTTTTGTTGTATCAGTTTGTTTGTTGGTCCAGTCAGTCTGTCGCTGAGCAATCACTACTTATTTATGCTTATTCATGTTTAAAATTATTTTTATAAATTATAGAGTATAAGCATAATGACCTGATTGCAAGTGCTGAACTTGATATTATGTTTTATATTATTATATGGAAACAGTGGTGACTTTGGTTGTGGTTTTGACACCGACTCGCGCCGTTAATGGTAATTTGGTGGGGATTTTCACACCGTTCTCTTGCAAGGTCAATGGCTTTGGAGAATTGTGCTCTAACAGGGTGTTGACTGTCATCTGTAGATTGATGGCTGCCCTGACTGAAGTGAAGGTACGTCGCGACAGCATTTGAATATCAATATATGAACTCTGTATGATAGTGAGCTGGAATTGAGCCTTTAAAGGGATAGTTCACTCAAAAATGTTTTCAAAAAGTCATTATTTACTGTCATTTCAAGACGATCTAAAAGGAGAATTGCGGGCAATATGGACATGCACATATAAGTATACTCAACTCTATTCAAAAGATATGTCTGTGTGGGCTCTAATTTGACCTCTAATGCAAATGTAACTGGTTTATGATTGTAAAGTGCTTTGAAACGTTTCACAGTTGATTTCACGGACAGATGCCAAATTGCAAAACATTTTTAAGCATAATAAAGCTCAGAGATTTTATAAACCTTGCCACGACTTTTAATAATTTTGTCTTGATATGTTGTCTAACGTTTTTAAATGTAACTACTTGTTCAGAGAACATTCAAAAGTAACGTTCCCGTAATGTTTGCCAAATGATAAAATGGAATGTTTCCTTAATGGTAACGTATCACCAAGAAAAATTTTTTTTTTATTATTTATTAAAAATGGCATGTTTTGAACATTCTGAAATAACGTTTTCATAACTTAATGGGAATGTTAGCAAAACATTCCTAGAACTACTAGTTGTACTGAGTTTCACGTCGTGTTCATGCAGCGAATCAAGTTCTCATTCATTTCTAATTGATTTGAATCATCTTGTCTTCTGTTTTTGCTGTGTTCACACTTTCTGTTTGTTTTTGACGCTCAGAGAAAGATTTCAAAAGAGCAGATGTGGTATCATTTCCATTTCCAGATTGCTGGAACGCCGGTGTCCCTCATCCATTCAGAGTTCTTTGTGACAGCCCGAGATCTTTTCAAATGCAATCACGTTTTTCGATAAGTCTCAAGATTTTACGGCGGCCCTACTCTTACAGTCTCTGCAACCTGCTTTGGTTTATCATTGTAATTTTTCTGTTTAAATTCGTTCACGTCCACACGACTCCTCCAAGAGCAGCATCATCACAACAGCAGCACACACTTGTGATAGTGCTCTGGCTCAGACTGCTCATATATCTGGAGAAGGATGTCCGTTAGCAATGGCAAGTGCTCGGCGCTGGGATGTTACCATGATGCTGCCCAGTTTCTGATTTAAATTTTTTATTTTTTTTCCTTGATACTAAAGACTTAAAGGGGTCATATGATGCTATTTTAAAGATCATTATTTTGTGTAGTTGGTGCAACAGAATATGTTTTTTTTTTTTTTAAATAGCCTTTGTGCACAGCCAGCCTTGTACTCTTCTAGGTTAAAAAAACTGTCGTCCATAAAATGCGTTGCACAAATTCGAACATCTGGGTTGTGCTTTTGTATAAAGTGCTTTTGCTTTCGCACTGAAACACACCGCAAAACCACGCCTTCTTTCTTTGCGTGCACATTTGGGCGGCATTATGCTAATATTTCCACATAGTGACGTAGACATGTGGGGGCGTGTTAGAACGAGCCGTTTTAGGTAGGCGTGGCTGACTCTTAACTTTTATAAAGTATATCTCTTTGGATTTGAGACTTTAGTCTTTGCAACTTTACAGATCTTCTTTATGCACCAAGAGCTTGTAACACTCCAAAGAGAAAGGAAAACTTGAAATCGCATCATATGACCCCTTTAATATAGCGTCCAAAAACTGGAATTTTTTTGGTTTTGTTTTTGCAAATTAGATGTTGCTTGCATAAAAAGTCACTGCTTTACTGAATAATGCGGTTTGTTACCTCAACAAAACTAGTTGTCTGCAATGCTTTGACTAAGCCTTTGCATCTACCAAAGTAGTTTTCTAGACAATGACTGCCCCAAAAAAACAGTGCAGTTTCAAAGTAATTTCATACAGGGACAAAAATGTAGTGCATAAACAATTTTCACAAAACAATTACAATTACAAATGGCAAGTTACACCTGAAATTACACTGAAGTACAACTTTGAAAAATATACCCTCCCCCTCCTCAGTGTAGAATTAAAGTGAATCAAACAGATTTAAAAAAAAAAAATCTTGAAGGCCACACAGGACATGCATTATTATTTATTTAAATCACAGCTTATTTTTCTCAAAATTACCCAAGATAAATCTAAAATAACTCTAATGCAAAATTTGCTCTGATGCATGGCCTGTAGATCATACTAACAATAAATAACTAATATTCTGGCACAAATTTCACACTGAAAAAATGCCATAAGATTTACAATTGCTAAATTAAAAAAAAAAAAAATGTTTACAGTGTATATGTTTTATTGCATGTCTCTCTGGATTTCTTCATTCATCACAGTCCAAAGTGATTTTCTAGTTGTGCTACGTTCATGTCTCTCATATCACTCCATGTCTCTTTCTTCTAACATAATGAAATCATTTCAAACTCAAATCAATATTTCATGTCCATAAGTTTATGCATTTGGTAAGTAGCTGTATAATATGTGGGATCATTTACAGGCGGCCAGTCATAATCATAAAATAAACCTTCAGGGTCCCGATCATGCTGTCAGGTTCTATTCTGCAGTAATGACTGACTGACATCAAACAAAACAAATCCTTCAAAACATTTTCAATTTAAACCATCGCTTCTGGACAAAAAAATTAGTCTATATATAATCCATAATAATGCTTCCTCCAGTGAAAAAGTCCATCTCCTGTTGTCTCTCACATCAAAATCCACCCACATATTTGTTTAGAGCTGTTTTGGACTCTTTTGGCTTGTAAACAGTGCCTGATCTGTGTATATTTCTCTCCTGATTTAGACCAGACCGCTTTTTCAATGGAGAAAGCAATGTTATGGATATTTGATTCATATTTTGGTAATGGTTTGAAGTTAAAACCAGATGTGTTTCTTACAAACACGCAGCTTTTGGCTTCATAAGAAATTAATTGATGGACTGGAGTGGTGTGGGTTACTTGTGGATTATTGTGAAAGAACCAAAGACTTAAACTACTTCAGTCTGTGTGCATTGAATTTATTTAATACACGAGTTTCACAATTTGAGTTGAATTACTGAAATAAATGAACTTTTCAGCATTCTAATTTATTGAGATGCACCTGTACATCTGGGATGGCCTGAGGGTGAGGACATTTTCAACACAATTTAATTTTTGGGTGAACTGTTCCATAAACACTGCACGTTTCTGCTTGTGTCTCTGAAAGGTCTGAGCAATAGTAATAGGTTTTGCTCAGCAAGAGTAGAAATTGGAGGGAACATTGCTCACTGTGTCTGGTTAGATGGCACAGCTGTAGTGGTCGTGGAGTTGCCATGAGTGACCAGATGCTTGAGCGAGAGCCCTGGCTTTGAGACAGAGGTCAACTTCATCAGCACTGGACCGTATTCAGCTCCAGACACATTCAGCAGTTCAGTATTTTAACACTTTAATGAAAATTGGCCGGCAGTGCCTTTCTCAAATCTTGTCGAAGCACTGTTAAACATTTTAAATGATTACTTGTTCGTACTGAAAGTGTTATACTGCAGGTATGCTGGGGGTTTTTCCTTGACAAAGGGCAGTACAAGCCAAGAGTGAATTAGCTGTTATATATCGGGGTCAGTGACAAATAATAATGTCTCGGATGATTTATTTATTTCAAGCTTTCTTGGGTTTATTACATTTGAAAACCTGAACTAACCTTGTCATATCATTGACATATTTAATACTGTTGTTGAGATTGAAGAAACTGACCTTGCTTACTTGAATTGCTGGTCAATTACTGGGCATACATTACACCGATACAAGTCACTAAAATGTAATTTATTTGTTCAAATCTGGAGGCCATAGAAAGAATACCTTTTTTATTTATTAAATATTTATTTTTTTACCTTACCTTTTACCTTAGTCATTAAAAAGCGTTAGATCATCATCATAGACATCAGTCACAAGTCATTTCATTTCAAGTCTATTTATTTAAACTTGGAAGCCAAAGAAAGAACATATTTTATTTTCATTAAACAACATACAGTATAATA